AAATTAAATTAGACGAAATTTTCAAGCACGGGTCGTAGGGTGCATGTCTGGTTCTTCGACCCCCAAATTTCACCTTGTATAACCTTTTACATGCCTGAGTTCTAGATTATGAATATCAGTAAACTCACCCGTAAGTGTTGAGACTAAGATGGGTGTGTTAGATTATATGCTGAGAGAAAAGTGTGTAACGGCTCGTTAAATATTCAACTTAAAATTATTACAACTTAACTTAAAACTTAAAACTACTTAAAAACTAAACAAATATAATACAAATATATCTTATTAACTATATTTACATTGAATTAAACAACTAAAACTGTACATGTTGTAAGCTTAGTCCGGCGCGAGCACAAAGATGTTATTTAAATTATTTGGATTGCGCGCTCAGTGAACGTCAGATTATGACCTTGCGAGTGAACGCTTTCTATGCATTCAATGCACGGGAGCAACTTACGACCGGCTCGGCTCGGCGCTTATGTCACTCGCAGTCCCTGCGAAGCTTCTAAACGCACGGACGTACACCTCGCTTAGAAAAATATTACTCGCGATCCACGAGGTCAAACTTTCTAATACTTAATCGATTTATTTAAATTACTTGTTGTGCTTCCCCAGTCTCGGGGCTCCTTCCTCCGTCAAGAGGTCCGCTGCTGTGCGGCCATCGTCTGTCGCCCGCCCGCGACGCCGAACCTGACGTGGCAAGCGTTGCTTGTCGCTGCTGCCACTACGAGCGAACCAAGGACAGTGCGGTTGGATTTTTAGAGACTTTAGTAGTGCGTCGGTTGAGACTAATTAGGAACTCACTCCCTGAGACTTAAATTAATTAGCAATAAATAAATTTGACTATTCTTTTGTTTCTCTTTTTCTTCCTCTTAAATAGATTTTGTTACCGTCATATCTAAAAGGCCGGTACAAGTGTTACTGAAAATTGATAGAAATAGGTTACGCATCAAAATGAAAAGGACCACTTATGGCTAGATACCTTAACTATATTATGGTTCTATATAGATTCGAATTCCGTATGAGTCATGAAGCGTATTAGTAAATATCGTACATTTTACCAACTCATCAGACTAACGTCTACTCGAAAAAGTATTTGAAATGTTTCTGGGAAACTTTTCCAATTTATCTCTTCATAAGCACCTTCCTCGGACTTCCACGAATATTCTAAAAAATGCTAAATCGTTACCAACTTTCGTACCCCGTAGCTAAAAAATGCTAAATCGTTACCAACTTTCGTACCCCGTAGCCATTTATCAATTAATTCTTATAATTGTAAATGTTCATCATTAAACAAGCATCTACTTAGGTGCGTAAATCTCAATTATTACTCGAGTCAATATCAGGAGTAGATTAAATGTTTTCTTTTGTTAAATTTCGATAAATATACCAATTTATCACTGAACCATCAAAAATTATGACTGAGACTGAATCAAATTTTGAGCATTATTTTGTAATTCGGATCTCATTTACCAAAAATGCCATTTATTTTCTGCCAATAGGCTTTTAAAAAGCGACGTCCTAATATTACCTAAACCCTACAAGAAGTCATGATAAGTTTCAATGCAAAGAAAAATCCAGCAAACTGTCCTGTACATCATAATTTTACTGAGCTTTGTCTCAAAGCTATTACAACGTTTCCAACAATCGATAAAAGTAACTCAATAAAACAATGTTCCGATAAATGAAGTAAGTTACCTACGCCAAACTTCTTTAATGAACTTAACGGATTTCAGTCGGCTTAGAGCAACTTGAATCCCCTAAGCTTTGGTCCTATCTAACTTTGAGTTTTTGTCCGACTGTACCGACGATAGAAACAAATTGTCCTTCTTTGAATATTATTCTAAATCTCTTTGAAACATCTAAGTCGTTCAAAGTTATCAGACTTGCAAAGTACGAGTACTATTGAGTGAAAATAGAAATTCTAAACTTGTACCAATACTCTTTGTAAATAAAAATAAAATTCTATTTTAGTCTTCTTTCCAACTACTCGTCTGTCAACTAATATCTAACTCTACATTAAGTAGAACTTACACAGACAACAGCCCATCAGGCTGTGGTTCCGTCATCGTAACGTAACTTTAACATCGTAACTCCCCAAACGCTCGCGTTTCGAATCGCTTCTCTGGACGCAACATACGCTCGTGTTCGCACGAAGACATTCGCGGCAAATTCGGCCTCCTTCGCAAGGCCTAAGTATTAATGTAGTGACAAAACGCGGCCATACTTACTGGGTTGCTTATGCGCTCCGTCTTTCGAGTTGGATTTTTCTGACAACTTGAGGGCAGTCACGCTTTGGATGCCTCACCGGTCACATCGCCATCTTCGATTCGTATCTAACGGGCCACGTAATGTTTTGTTACATAATGTTATTGTGTGTGGTCGTAATTGGCCCCCAACAAACAAGAACTAAACTACACCTATAAGAATAGATCCAGACTTGTGATTAGGCGAAACATTCTAATTCAACCGATAGAAGTTACAAACTTTTCAAAAACAAAAACAATCTCGATATCTATACCAGATATTGTGTTTTTGTTGAAGCATAAGACTTACAGAAGATCCTATTGATAAATCAGAAAGCTTTCGAGCTTACGTAAACTAGTATTTTCCTTGGTGATATATCAAAAGTTTTGACATGCCTTACGATGCCATATTGTGTAATGTATAGGTAAAGTGTATTTTCCTGTAACGCTACCTACTTTGGTTTAGTAAGAAGTGTATTGTACCAACTTCTTTTCCTTTTTATCTTCTGAACTTATTGACCTTATTCAACCAATTTATTAGATATTCTGGGTGAATAAACTCTTTCTACATTGTATACCTACCTACTTTTAATTTTGTGTTATTTTGGGTTACCTCTCGTTAATTTAGTTCAAAATGTCATCTAAGGTTCAATCAATAAGGACCTATTTTCTTTAGTGAAAAAAAAAACAAGATCGGTAAAAAGCCTTTTACCCACAGTGGGCTGGAAAATAGAAACAATGGGTTTCCAAAGAACTTTTCCGTGTTCTCTGCAGGCCCCTAATAAGGGAAGAAATGGCCACGACAAGAAATAATGTCGTATGTCGACCCCTCATTCCGATATCGGAACGGCCTCGAGGCGAGATCGAACGTTTGACCTTATTAGACAATTACTCCATCACATTCCGCCTTAGTACGGATGAAAGGGATGAACAATATATGATTACGTCGACGTTGTCAATCAAGATTTATTACTTCATTATTATGTAGGTATAAGTTAAAATCCATCCACAAGGTGGACCGACGACATCATAAAGGTAGCATGAAGGCGCTGGACGCAGGCCGCTACCAACCGGGCAACATGGAAAGCATTGGGGGAGGCCTATGTTCAGCAGTGGACGTCCTATCGCTGAGATGATGACGATGATGATGATAACTTAAAAACTATGCTCAGCGGTGGACGTCCTGGGGCTGAAATGATGATGATGATGATAACACAGAAAGCTTTTCGTTTCTTCATCTTTTAGAACGTAAGAGTGCTCATCATTCGTCATCATTCAGTAAAGTGTGATAACAAAACCCCTTTGGGTTTGCATCACATAAATGAATTTCCCACAAATATTGTCTGTGCATTTTCTATTAAGTATTAGACTGATAAAATATTTCAGGAGAGAGTCGTACCTACTCGTATTTCTAGTTTCTCTTTCAAATAAAACAAAGCTTTTATTATTATTAGCTTGCAATATAGCATTATTTTTAATAATGAAGTCGGTTAAAAAAGCAATCATGTGTTATACTTACGAATACCTACTAAGATATTTTATCATAGGTCATAGTCAAAACCCCTTATTACAGACCCCCTTAAAGGCTACCCATCCCAATGCCGCACCTTTTTTTAACTTTTCTATATATTTTATTTCCCATCCTTATTCACTCCATTGTGGCTTAAAGCAAACCACGATAGTCAATATATAATAGCAACTAAAGGTATAAAACTAGAGTTTCTGCTCGAGCTTTCTCGAACTCGAGAAAACTCGAGAAATTTGGCTTCATTCGAGACGAGAAAAAAATTACCGGAGCTCGAGAATTCTCGAGTTTCGATTTTGAAGCTTTAATATTCTTGAAAGCCTATTTTCTTAGACAAAAGTAAGATTTTAATTATTTAATAGGTTAATGTTGCGTTTAGACTGGCCTAGTCTTTCCCTTTATTAACTAATTTGATTTGCAAGTAATGATCTTAACCGAAACTAATAATGATCACCTACGAGTATGCTATATTTTATTATGTTTGTATAACTGACTGATTTAAAGACTGAAAATTTTTTGTTACCTATCTGTTAGTTTAGGTACTCGTAAATACGTTTATTCAAGTCGTTATCTTTAAGTTTAAAAATTTATTTAAATGTTTTTTTTTGTTTGTAAATGCAGGTTTATTATCGTAATTTTTCAATTAAGTTGGACTTGTGTTCTTTGGAAAACAAGTGATTCAATTGGAGCTCCAGATATTTATGGTTATTTATCCTTAAAGTACACGCGACTTTATGACTTTTGTTCCTTTAGTTAATTACTAAGTTATAATTATCCTACTAATATTATAAATGCGAAAGTTTGTGTGGATGTCTGGATGTTTGTTACTCTTTCACGCAAAAACTACTGAACGGATTTTGTTGAAACTTTACAGTATCATTGATTATAACCCAGACACATTATAACATTAATAAAAACCCGTGTTTTTATTAAATTTCAACCGATTTCAACAGTTTTAATTAAAAGACTCGAGACCCGAGAAAACTCGAGACTTTGGCCTCGAGAATTCCCGAAACTCGAGAAAAAAAATAAGTCGAGAAATCAGAAACCCTATATAAAACTCTATCAAAAAGGGCGGGAAAAACACCTCCAGTGTGGTCCGTAATGATCCTTTTTATATTTTTTAACAATAATAATTGTTGAATGATTTATGTACTGTGTATGTGAATTTCTTAACAAAAACTTAAATAGTAAGAAAATCGTAAATTACTAAACAATAAACCATCGCTTACCTTTTGAAACTTTCATTTTCACAGCTCCCGTGGTCTCACTGAAGTGGTCACAAAGGATTCATTTTGAAACTTTTAATTTAACAGCCAATTTAATATTTAACGCGGCGGAGGTCAGACCAACTAATTTCACTCATTATGCCTCATAAAACATTAAACAGTACGCAAAGATCCATTCCCGACGTCTCTACGCTTCTACTAAACTTCAAAACGTTCATTCATTATTATATAACATTAATTTAACACTTAATTAACGTTAATTTTAGAACTAGCCGCTAATTAGTTAAGAACACACTTTTGCGGTAAATGTCAAGAGAGAGTGCAACGGAAAACAAGGTGGAAACGCCAGCGCGGGAAATGTGTCAAGGTTACCTAAGCTGGCACTTGAATGAAACCGCGTCGAACACTGCAATCAAACCGCAATAAACTGCTGTTATTCAATACGAATTGTTAAAATTTATTTAATTTAACCCTAATCATTCAATTTGTCCATTATTTTGACCTAAACATAGATCATAACCTAAAACACAACACTTCGGTAGCGTCAGCCGCAATCACACCGACGCGACCAGCCAGTTCAGCGTTCACCACTTTCAAACTATTCCATTTTCAAATTTTTGACGTCCCGTTCGCGACGTGAAGGTGCGCGCGATGCAACATACCTTCCTCAGCTCCAATCGACTGGAACTGCCGGCAGAGGCCGCCGCTCGCGAAATTGGCGCAATTTCAACGCATGCGCGGTGCATTTGCGATCCGGCGGGACTCGATCTGACCCGACGCCCCTCGCTTGATAGAAAAATCGAGGACGTAACGTGACGTCAAACTTGTACACAAATATATGGGTTAATCGAGCGTAACAAAAACAACACGCAGGACTTTCGTAAATTACAGTCGTCCAATCTCGGGGGTTGCGGCATTGACATTGAGCGCGGCAAACAATTAAGTTGGTACTGAAAAGGTAAATTATGACCGTGCTCGTACTATCTGGGTATCCTTATCTCTCGCTTCCGTTATTCTTCGAGGGAAAAAATACAAATCTCTTTTCTTAATCCCGATGGAGGCGCCGAGAGATTGTTTTGAATATCCTTCGGCTGTAGAGCTCTCTCAGTTCGAATTTTCGGTGCTCTTACGGGAAATTTTACTGCTATTCTTTTGTTTCATGTAAACGGTACCCCGGGGTAAAGGAAGGTGTTTTTGATATTAAGATTAAGACGCCGCTGAAACGTAGGGGTTGCGTGCTCTTTGAACGTTCAACTTCAGTTTAATATGCGATGAGCTTACGGTTGAAACGATTTTATGTCACGCTTGGTAAATCAGCGATCGAGAATATTTAAAAAGCCACAGCAGATTTTTGGCTGAAATACATCATGATTTTATTATTTGTTTGCTGACAATAGATATTGTTTAGCTGATGTATTTTGTTGGCTTTATGCATGTTGAAGTCTTTCAGAATTGTAATGCTGAGCGCTGCTCCTGAATGAGCATCATATAGACCTGTATTTCTTTCAACTGTGTAAGCTTGAAAATCGTATTCTGCTAGTCAACAGAGACCTTACATTTACCTAAATAAGACTGTGCATGTCACCTCAAAATAAACACCCACAAAATTTAAATTCGGGTGGCAGGTTGACTTCCCCAAAAGGGGTAAACACACCAAAGCTAACCCAATAACCTTTCCGTCATAATACCTGTTTGTCATCACAACAGATACTCGCCCGCGGTGGTGGTGCCCTTGTTGTTTCAGGTTACAATAATATGAGGTTTTATTTTGAGAAAGACGATTGTTGTTTCAGCCAAATGACGTCCACTGCTGGACAAAGGCCTCCCCCAAGGCTTTCCACATTGAACGGTCCTGCGCTGCCCGCATCCAGGCTCTTCCCGCGACCTTTACCAGATCGTCGGTCCACCTAGTAGGAGGCCTGCCCACGCTACCTAGAAAGACGATTAATATTATTGTTTCTGAATAGTAAATTTAAAGTCAACATACGACTACCTACAGGACTATGAAATGTCTATTTACGTACTCGTAGGCAATAGAGTTAGATACCTACTCATATTTGCAACTTATGCTTAATTTTGTCTGAATTTTGAAACTGTTTCATAAACGTACACGAACAAACGATGGCATTTTAAAGAGTTAACACTAATGCTAATGCTTCCTGAAACCAGTTTTGTTTAACATATTCTATTCTACATTTCAGTTGGTGAAAAATATCTTCTCCAACGCAAACAAATTGTATTATGTATTTGTTAAGCTCGGCAGCCCAACTTTTCATAAGTAGCTGAAGCTGAAGTCTAACTAAGGCTAAGTTTAGTGTCCGTTTCCCAGCGTTTTTCACATCTCTCCCTCGGCACTGAGTCACAGTTCATAATACAGATAGAGTCAGAAAGTACGTGCTATTCACATTAGGCAATTGCAATTCATAAATTGAAAACCGAAACTCGAAAACGATTATTTTAATTCAATTTCAGTTATAGAACCTGTGGAGATCAGGGGTGATTGGTCTAAGTTTTAAAATTCAACCAATAAGTTTCAATCTTGAGATTGTATTGGTTTCGATCGTCCTTCTGTAAATAATACTCAGCTCTAACACTGTATGTTGCACATAGTTAACTAAAGATACATAGCAGAAACAAGAAATGTTTGAGAATATTGGATTGGCCCTGATTTAACATTTTCAATATTTTATTGCGGATCTATGAAAGACTCAAAAATTCGGAAAAAAATTGATAGCTTCCATAATAGTTGGAACAAATAGGTAGAGTCTCAATTAAATAAGACTGTACGTACATAGGTAGAGTTGCGTTTAGCTCAGCAGGTAAGAGGGCATGTATTGTGTCGTTTTTAAAAGCAGTTTTGTAGTCTACTGTGTCAATAACTATTATGACTGAATCTCGCAACTCATGCAAGGAACTTTGCAAAGCCTGCACCGAAGTTGGCCTCCTAATTGCTCTTGCATAGTCAAATTTGCGCTTCTTGCTGCTATTTTTCTTAAAAATTTGATGAGAGAGTGCTAAAGAAGTTTTAAAACTTAAAGTTATTTTTCGTTGACACGCCATAACAGATTAATAGTTTGCATAGTTACTTATAAGATACTTAATTTTGTCGCAAGTAGAGTTTCTAATACATTACTATTAGAATTATTTATTGAAGTATCACAAAGACAACACAAAGAAGATTGACAATAATATCGTAGAGTTTTGTAAGTATTTCTTGTTGTATCTTAGTTAACTTTAAGAAATACAAAGCACCTACGCTAAAAACTGAGCAACAGTTAAAAGCCTCCGCAACACTCAACGCCTACGTTTATTGTCAGAGCAAAAGTTATGCGTTCAGAAATTGTGCATTCAATGCGCAACTCCAGAGCAGTTTCACCTTTTAAATTGTTATTACGTAGAACTAAAATGGTTGTTATTGGCTTTTATTACGATATTATACCTTTTGTAAAATTTACAACTAAGAAAATGGACAGAAAGGTATGCGTCTATAAAATCACCGTCTTGAAACACAGTTTATCGTTATAGTTACGGTCAAAGTTAGATGATACAACTCAGCCTAACCCTAAGAGTGTCAAAGTGATGTGGACCGAGCTTTTCCAAAAAGGCATAATTATTTACCCGTAGTTTTACATCCTACGGCTGGCTGGAAACACCGACGACGAAGTCAAAGTCAAAGTTTTTTATTCAGTAGGTACTTAGGCCCTTACCAGGGCGCTTATACTTTAATACACGTCACAAATAGCTTGCCCTACCACCACTTCGGGACAATACTATAGGTATGGGCTGGTGCTGAGAAGATATGACGGAAGAAACTCAGTCATCTTTGTAAGCCTCTAGTCAGAAGTAAGGAATCCTTAATACCTACTCGCTAATAGTTTGCCTACATTTGCCATTGTCGTCCATACCTACCTAAGACAAATAACTGTTGTTATAAAGACATTAACCAAAACTTAATCTCTGTCATTCGAGTAAATCGTGACTATCCGCAATTGTTTATTCTTATTACGGCAACAGCATTCGGCTTCAATGTTATCAGGGCGTGTCAATCTACTGACTGGTCTTAAGGTAGCTATTACTCTTCGTTAATCTCAACATACATCGGCCTATCGAACGTGTGGATCGGCTTGCTTGAGTCCATTGACAAATAGTCCCGTCGCACTGTCATTAATCAGAAGTAGATACTTGTGAAAGGTATCTAATGCATTGGGATTAACTGTAATGCGGGACAATTAAACTGTCTCGGACAATGCGTACTAAAAAGCTTTTAAATGAATCGTTTCCGGAGACATGAAGCTTTCATTTGGCATCGTGAAGTTACTGCCGAGATTTTAAAAGGCCATTTTATGAATTTCACCTTCCTGACCCAAATACATCCAGTGCTGGACATAGAAGTCCTACATTTAGTTTTACGGTACATTTAATTTCTGGAATTTAATCATTTTATATGACTTCATTTAACTAATAGGTATGTGTTACAAAATGTACAAATTCTTGTTATAATATTTCAGAGATTTCTTTTACAATGAATCATCTTAGGTGTCTTTTTAGGGTTCCGTACCTCATAAGGAAAAAACGGAACCCTTATAGGATCACTTTGTTGTCCGTCCGTCCGTCTGTCAAGACCCTTTATCTCAAGAACGCGTGAACGTATCAAGCTGAAATTCACATGAAATACTCAGGTCTATTGTCCCTTTAAGCTGTGAAAATATCAAACTTCTAAGCCAAGCCAATCAAAAAATACAGCCATACAGCCGATTATGTCGATATTTTCAACAAATTTTCGACTCTCGCAAAGGAATCAAAACCTACAGGATACTTCCCGTAAACTCAGAATCTTGAAATTTGGCATAAAGCATTGTCATATAATGCAAATATAGGAAAAATTGCGAAAATCACATTTTTTTAGTTATATAATATAATAAAAATATTTTAATAAAATGAAACTTACTACCTTATTTCTCACGAACGAATAAAGGTATCAAATTGAAATTTATACCAAATACCTAGATCTATTGTCCCTTTAAGAAGTAAAAAAATCAAACTTCTAAGTTAACGCGATCAAAAGATACAGCAGTTTATACCGACACCTTAGACGAATTTCCGTCACACGCTAGGGAATCAAAACCTACAAGGTACTTCCTGTGAACTCAGAATCTTGAAATTCGGCACGAAGCAACGTTATATAGTACAGATAAAGGAAAAATTGCGAAAATGATAAATTTGAAGTTATATAAAATTTAAAATATTATTTTTGCTTACATGACATAAAATATTTTTTTAATAATTATAAACTTACTACCTACCCTTTTTCACATGAACGCGTAGAGATATTAAAGTTGAAATTCATATCAAACACTTCTTAAATCTAATTGCCTCTAAACTGTGAGAAATTCTAAATCAACGCAAAAATTCAAAACGCTGAGGTAGGTACCTACCTATAATGCAAATATAGGAAAAATAAATAAATAAAGAATAATCATACCGCATATTTTGAAATTCGCCACTACTCGCAACGGAATCAAGTAAGTAATTTGATTTAATACGTCATAAATTGTAAACCGCTACGTTTGTACGGCGGAACCCTCGGTGTGCGAGCCCGACTCGCACTTGGCCGGTTTTTTAATACACAAACAATGTATTTCTTTCCATTCTTTTGAGCCA